CTCACATTTTCTCACTTATTGCAAAAAATTTCACTCCACTTCCTTCATCGCATTGCTGTTTAGCAAAGATTTGAGGGAGGATGACGAAAACAAAATACCCATAATTGCTGATAGTATGCTTTTGGATAAAATCTCGCTAATGATGTACAGGCATTGTTTCGAACCCCCAAACACTGGAGAAATAAGGAGTTAGTCCCTAGTTAACCACTTTGAGCCTAGAAGTAGGAGTTTCCTTCGGATTTCTAAACCCTTATACTTAACCTGGGGCATGGGCAGTATTCAGTTAACTTGATTACGCACCCAAATCACGAGACAAACATCCAAAAAGCATGACGATTGTTCATCAATGACCAATGACTCGGCAGTCACAAATCCTCCAACAAAAAAGAAAGAAAAATAGAGCCTGCTAAGTCAGACACCTCAAAAGGAGACTTAGACAAAAATAAAGGCAATCCCGATGGACTCGAAAAACAAGATCAGCCCAGGCAAAAGTTAGGGATCAAAAACAAAACCAAAAAGAGGTCCTCAAACCCTCGACGATAAAAACAAAATAAGATTCGGTGGCCACCCAAATTAAGGGGCACTGACATCTATCAAAGAGAAAAATAAGGTGACTGCCATCTCGAGCGAACCTTGAACCATCTAACTTATACCGTCAAACAGGTGCAAAATTAACTGAACGTAGGTATGGAGATTATCACGAAGAAGGGGTGGGTACCAAATAATGCTTTGAGCCTTATATCCTTTGTTTCTATAACCGTGAACCAGACCGCGTTACAACCCTCAAAAGACCTAATTGAGGCGGGGTTTACTCTGAAAGCATACTACAGCAAGGTTGCGTAAACTGACTCCTACATATTTGCTAATCTTATGCATTGGTGTCATATTCTTGCTATATCTTTCACACCAATTAAATCAGCATTGCGTTTGGATTAACAGTCCACTCGTCACACATTTTCACATCATTCCCAATAAATGATATTTTCAAAACTTGCATGAATGTCGCATTAAAATTACCATTTTTGAATAAACACTTTTAACTGCAAGTCAGTACTTGCCATCATGGAAATTCCAACAAAGTGCAATCAAAGAGGAACTTGATCACTCATTGGTGTTGACCTGAATTAAGACTTTCTCCTAACCTTACGAACCTGGGGCAAGTCCTTCTGAGGTTTAAACCGGGGCAGACCACTACAAGGTCCAGACACTAGGGCAAATGGGTTCAAGCCGTATCCTGGAATAATCATCGCCAAGGTTCTCATCCCAGAAGGAAATCCTACAAATACCACGCAGACTGGGGCAGACCATTTGAACTGGGGCAGAGTAGCTGAACAGGGGCAACTTCCCTTCACGCTTTCAAAGTTGATCAAGATGACCACACCAGACACCAGTAATGGTTAGGGTCCATAAACGTCAAAAGCCTCGGGGCAGAGCAAAGGCATGACTAACACGCATTGGTTAAGTCGCTACGCTCACGCAATCCATATGCATTGGTTGAGTCGCTACGCTAGCATGACTAACACGCATTGGTTAAGTCGCTACGCTCGCACAGTCAACATGATTTGGATAATTCGCTACGCTCAACATTTGTAAGATGTCATGATACATCGGTTAGAAGCTAGGTTCTTACCAGAACGAGTATACCACTTCTGCAAAGGATCCAACAAGGGGCAGGCTACCCAGAGTTTCGTTTGATTAAGGGAGAATCCCTCCAACGCTCAATCAGCACAAGTCATGTTGCTTCAACGCTCATTCTGGAGCAGACTACCTCAAGAATAATTTGAAGCCAATTACCCCAAGGGTCAGTTAATCAAGGTCAAAACCCTTTCCTGACTAAAATTTGCATCAAACCATCTCGAGATCATCTCAGGGTACAACTGCTTCCAACTTCCTTTCACGACTTGGAATGTGGGGCAAGCCATCTCGAGCTCGTCTCATGGTATGATTGCTTCCAATTTCCGTTCAAGGAAAATTCCTTCATAGACCCAAACTGGGGCAAGTTGAACCACATTGGGGCAGTTACTCAATCAAGTTTATTCTTGTCAGCAAAAGTTGAGTGTCGGGGAATCATGCCATCACCCCACCAAATAACCTTAACCTCCTGAAAAAGCCTCTCTGTCATTGGGTTTCACCCCCATGGCCTGGACCTTATACCTGTCAGAGCTTTGTAACCGAAACAAATCCTTCAAAGTCCAGCTCTCATCTGGCAAATCATTCTAAAGTCCAATCTTTTATTGGCAACCACAAAAAGCCACTCTAATTGGCACCTTAAATTCACCCTAAAAGCCCAGTCTTCATTGGAAACCACTAAAAGTCCACCCTCATTGGCATCCTCAATAACCAAAGTCCAAACCATTTGGCAACTACCGAATCCAATCCCTGGTGATGTCCCCGACAGGATTTTATCCCCTGCATACCTAGTCGCTGCATTATCATAAGCACGACATACAACTTCATATCATAATCATAACAAACATTAACATATCCTTCGCATTCGCATCATGCACTCCCTAGCAGTTGCACCTTAGTTGCATGTTTGGGCATCATAAAACATTGCATTGCATAGCAATATGGCAGGATCGAGGATCAGTTCACGAGAATCTTGGTCAGTCCTCTAATGAAGTTGGCAGTATAACTCTGAAAAGATTTAATACCTCATGAGTTCAGGGAATTCTACTCCCCAACAAATCATTCTTCAACCATGCAGTTGATGATGATAATCCTCAGCAACTATTACTCTGATGGCTCCCTAAGCAGAGGTCATCTTAAAGGTTTATTGAAGTTTTCTCCCCTGCAGAGTTGGGACTATGTTTCTCCTCTAATAAGAATTTTAGCTCAACCATCCCTCAGCAAAATTATCATTCGAGATACTGCTTTGGTATCATCGAAGAGCCTTAATGGATAAGGTGCTACTTCGACCACCCGAAGAATCTCAATTTTTGTTCGAGATACTGCTTTGGTATCATCGAAGAGCCTTAATGGATAAGGTACTGCTTCGACCACCCGAAGAATCTCAAGTTTTGTTCGAGATACTGCTTTGGTATCATCGAAGAACCTTAATGGATAAGGTACTGCTTCGACCACTCGAAGAATCTCAAGTTTTGTTCGAGACACTGCTTTGGTATCATCAAAGAACCTTAATGGATAAGGTACTGCTTCGACCGCCCGAAGAATCTCGAGTTTTGTTCGAGATACTGCTTTGGTATCATCGAAGAGCCTTAATGGATAAGGTGCTGCTTCGACCACCCGAAGAATCTCAAGTTTTGTTCGAGATACTGCTTTGGTATCATCGAAGAGCCTTAATGGATAAGGTACTGCTTCGACCACCCGAAGAATCTCAAGTTTTCGAGATACTGCTTTGGTATCATCGAAGAGCCTTAATGGATAAGGTACTGCTTCGACCACCCGAAGAATCTCAAGTTTTATTCGAGATACTGCTTTTGTATCATCGAAGAACCTTAATGGATAAGGTACTGCTTCGACCACCCGAAGAATCTCAAGTTTTGTTCGAGATACTGCTTTGGTATCATCGACGAACCTTAATGGATAAGGTACTGCTTCGACCGCCCGAAGAATCTCGAGTTTTGTTCGAGATACTGCTTTGGTATCATCGAAGAGCCTTAATGGATAAGGTGCTGCTTCGACCACCCGAAGAATCTCATGTTTTGTTCGAGATACTGCTTTGGTATCATCGAAGAGCCTTAATGAATAAGGTACTGCTTCGACCACCCTAAGAATCTCAAGTTTTCGAGATACTGCTTTGGTATCATCGAAGAGCCTTAATGGATAAGGTACTGCTTCGACCACCCGAAGAATCTCAAGTGTTCGAGATACTGCTTTGGTATCATCGAAGAGCCTTAATGGATAAGGTACTGCTTCGACCACCCGAAGAATCTCAAGTTAATCGAGATACTGCTTTGGTATCATCGAAGAGCCTTAACGAATGAGGGACTGCTTCGACCACCCAAAGAGGATCACTTATACCACTCTGGTACCGCGAAGAACCTTATTGGATAAGGGACTGCTTCGACCACCCAGGGAATATCAGGTTATCTCGTTCATCTATTTTTGCATCCTGTCATCCTGTTCTGGTATATCCCATCTCTTTGCATTTTTACTTGCTTGTCGGACAAATTTTGGGATCTTCTTGTATCTAATTGACTTCCACCTTAAAATGAACGCTCTGCAGCCGTTCATTCTCTCAGGTTCAAGGCAATTAGATAGGGGCATCTGTCATACCCCAAATTTGTCCTACCTTTTTTCAAAATTTCTCATTTGCCCGACTTTGTTTTTAATTTACCTCGCTTATACAGCGTAGCGTATTTTTCAGCAAAAGCAGGCATTTTCTTTTTAGCCCGATAAATTTACACCACATGGCATCCTTTTATTTATTATTATTTATGTTTTAACATTTTTATTATTAATTAGTTAAAATAGGATAGAATTATAATTATTTATTTATTTATTTATTTATTAGAATAGAATTTGTTTTTTATTAATCAAGTTAGAATTAGTTTTGTTTAATTAATTAACATAGAAAATAATTATTAAAATTAAAAGAAATTTAATTTAAGAAAAAGAAAATTGAAAGAATGAAAAGACGATAGATTTGGAATTAGGTTTAGTTCTTTTGGGATTATATAAGTTACTGTTCACAGACCCTAGGAGGAGGATACACTGTTCACCCTAACCCTAAAGAATAGCGGCTGCCCCTAAGTTTGAAGGGCAACCCTAAAGGAAAAAAAACATCCCCAAATCGGCGCCGCAAACCCTCGTCGCACCACCATCCCTTCATCTTCTCCCTCCGAAACCTTCTCCTCTCTTCTTCTTCAAACCCTCGCCGATACCTTTCCCTCAATCTCTCAGCTAAACCGAGCCGCCCCTAAATCCGAAAACCCTAAGCTCTCAAATCAGAACCCTTCATACCACCTTAACCATCAATCTCGCTGCCGCATCTGCAAAACCTCGAGAACCAGAGAAACACAGTCGGAGAGAAAAAAATGGTTTCAGGTTCCGGCGCATGCGCTAAAAGAGTCGTGGTGGATGCTCGCCACCACATGCTTGGTCGCTTAGCATCGATCGTAGCGAAGGAACTTCTAAACGGCCAGAAAGTTGTGGTTGTGATATGCGAAGAGATCTGCATCTCCGGTGGCCTCGTCAGGCAGAAAATGAAGTATATGAGGTTTCTTCGTAAACGGATGAATACGAAACCATCTCACGGTCCCATTCATTTCCGTGCTCCTTCCAAAATCTTCTGGAGAACTCTTCGAGGAATGATCCCACATAAGACAAAGCGTGGGGAAGCTGCTCTTGCTCGCCTTAAGGTTTATGAAGGTATTCCTCCTCCATATGACAAGATCAAGAGAATGGTTGTCCCGGATGCGCTTAAGGTACTGAGGCTTCAGAAGGGACACAAATATTGTCATCTTGGACAACTTTCATCTGAAGTAGGATGGAACTATTATGATACCATAAAGGAATTGGAAAACAAGAGAAAGGAAAGATCAGCATTGGCTTATGAGAGAAAGAAGCAGCTCCGGCGAGACCCGTATGAAGTCCATGGCATTAATCGGAACTCCACCGATCAGGAGATTAAATCCGCTTACCGGAAAATGGCTCTCAAGTTTCATCCTGACAAGAATGCTAATGATCCCAAAGCAGCTGATATGTTCAAAGAGGCTACTTTTTCTTATAATATCTTGGTGGATCCTGATAAACATCGTCAGTATGACTCATCTGGCTTTGAGGCCGTTGAATTAGATAACCAAGAGTTAGAGTTGGATCTTTCAAGTTTGGGTGCTGTCAACACAATGTTTGCTGCACTTTTTAGCAAACTTGGTGTACCAATCAAGACAACTGTATCTGCGACTGTTTTGGAAGAGGCACTTAATGGGTTAGTTACAATTCGCCCACTTCCATTGGGAGAGTTCATATCTAAAAGGGTTGAGAAGCAGTGTGCACATTTTTATTCAGTTACAATCACAGAAGAGGAAGCAAGAGCTGGATTTGTTTGTCGAGTACAATCATCAGACAAAAGCAAGTTCAAGTTATTGTATTTCGACCAGGAAGACAATGGTGGCTTTAGTCTTGCCCTCCAGGAAGACAGTGCAAAAAATGGAAAGTTTACTTCTGCTGGAATGTATTTTCTTGGCTTCCCTGTTTATCGGCTAGATCAAACAATGAACTCCATAGCTGCTGCCGAGGATCCTGATACTCCAACTCCAGCTGTTGCTTCTGATGGAACTAAGAGACGATCTGGACGTCCACCGAAGAATCAGCAGTAGAATCCGACTCCTTTACCGTTTGCTACTTCTGTTCCTGAAAATGAAATGCCTCAGCCGCAAGGTGCAGTTCCTGAGGTGTTTGTTTTGACTCCGAGATCTAGAGGACGACCAAGGAAGAATCCTGCTGTTGCTGCTGTTCCGGTTGTTGTGGTTACTAGTGGAGGCAGAGGACGCGGGCGAGGTCGTAGGGGAAGGATATGATCGTCCAAATGAAGGGGCCATTATAAAATTGAAACTAGTCGGTAATGTCTCAAGCCTATAACACCCCGGAAAATGTGAACTATGTGAATTGTTTGTTATTTTTGTTTTGGTTATTTTGTCTCAGCTTAGATTCATGAAGCAACAACACCAAATTGCTCTTCAAACAGCATTCTTCAACAGCAACGAACGCAAAGCTTTGATTCCCCATTCTACAATAATGTCATAGCTGCGGTTTTCACCTTCAGATGGAGTTGCCGAGGGAAAGGACCTTGTTGGCTCTGTGATGTCTGCTATGGAAAGCTGAACCTAAGGAGGTTGCGGTCCCTCCATGTGTCAACACAGCAAGCGTAGCAAGGTTTTGGTTCGTGCCTTATTCAACAACTTTGCAGCAATGGCAGTCATTTCAGTTCAGTCCAGTTCCGTCTTAGCTCCACAACAATGTAACGGCGGTTCACGATTGCAACAGCCTGCGTAACTGTCACAAAGCATCACGACTCGGCTAATAATCATCTAAGCTTCATTTCGGTTGGTACCACGTTATTCTTTCGGTTCTGCTTACCATATCTATGATGTGCTGATAATATTAAACTTTGTTGCTCCATCCCATTTGCGTTGTAGCTTTGTTCCTATCTTACAATTCATGACAGTATTTCACTATATATATGATGAGCATCATTAATACGTTTAGTAAAATGCTGATATGTTTCATTTCGGTCTCGTGTGAATATCAATTTCAATTGTTGTTATTGTTTGTTGTCCTGAAGTTTGGAATGACAAGGGTGTGGTGATGTTTTCTCGTTTCAAGTTCGTGGTTGTATAACATGTTATTTGAAGTTTTGCGTTGATCTTTCAATGTCGGTATTAGTTTATTCCCAGATCCTAGTTTATTAAGATGTTTTTCTTTGGGATTTCATGTTAGTAGGTTGTGTTTGGTTTGTTTCTTAGCTAGGGGTTTCTGTCCGTGTTTGTTGTGCTAAGGCTGCCAGCTTGTGTGCCCGATACCGAGTTTTGAAATGCGACATAATATCTCGATTTGCTTCATAATGACCTTAAAAAAAACTGCTGATGTGTATGAGTTATTGCCATATTGCGTTTTTGGTGTGTTATTTCGATTGATGTTTGGTAAAGTTTCAAATTTGGTTATGATTACGTACTGTCCCGAGTTCGCGTAAGCTGTAGACATTTCATGAATCCTGGTTGCAATGTTATAAAAGCAGTTAGCGTAAGGGCTGGTACCGCTACTGCTAGTCTCTTATTAGTTCCATTGCTAATTTCATAAGTCGAGATGACAGGCCGAATTACTTATGTGTTGATTGTTACGAAGATAAATTCTCGCGCATGATCGTTAAAATGTTGTCACTATGTTTATTTCCACTGTGTTGTGACAAACTTTGGTTGCCGTATCTTGCTGGATTTGTATGCATATGCATGAAAATTTTATTGTGAAGATCTTGTGATTGAATTCTGTTTCCTGTTGTGTTTTACTTATGCCAAAACTTTTCGCTATACCCTAGGTGTTCGATCTCAAGTATCATGGTGTTTATATCATGGAATGTAGATTTCAATTCAATTAGCATGTTGTTTTGTTTCCAAGGAGTTGTTTGTGGGTACTGAGTATGGATACTCAATGTGCTTGTTTTAAGGAAAAAAACATTTCATTTGAATCATGTTTGAGTGGGTGTATTGTTTGATTTATTGAGGATTTCATTAATTCAGTATGATAAGCTCGGATTTTTTAGTTTCGTTTCCAAACCTGTTTTCGATTTAGAATTTGTTTCAAATAGCAGCTTTGTGAATGTTTGAAATAAATACTTGGCTATTAACTTATATTGCTGCTGTTAAGCTTTGGTTCATTTCAAATGGATGCGAAGTTACCGTTTTTCCTTACTGCTATTTGATTCCAAATTACTGTGATTTTCTTTCTCACCTTCATGTTTATGTTGGATAACATTTGTGTCAATTGGATGAAGGATGTGGTTTGTGTGAGTATTTGAATACTGCACATTAGAGTATGCAGATTTTTCCATTATTACTTTGAAGTTTGGCTGTATGGTTTGGAGGTTTTAAGCATCACACATCATATTCGGCCTACTATCATGGCCTAGTGGTCCTTTCGGGTCTTTGAGCATTTGCTAATTAGCTGTATAGTTTGTGATTCTTCTTTTTTTTATTTATTTGTTTATTTATTTATTTATTTTTAATTGATTATGTGTTTATTACAAGATTAATTGATAATTAATTTTATTTTATAGTAACTAAGTATTTAACACGAGATAGTTTGGACTTTACCCTAACGACTTTCTTAAATCTGATTAAAATATAATTATCACAATTCATTTTGTATTTCAATACCAAACTATTTTCCTTTTTAATTTATTGAAATTAGTGGGCTCTTGGGGTCTAGCATCCCTTGAGTTCTTGAATGACCACTCTCGAGGCGCACGCCCTTGAGTTGTGGTTGTTTCGTCCTTCGATTTTCAAAACTGTTTTTACTCGAATTAATTGAAATTTATAAAGGATATTTTTATTACTTTTAGATACTTTTATAAGAAAATTCAAATTATTCTTTCTTTAAAAAATATATTTCTAAATTATTACCAAATAATATTTTAAATATTAAATTTAAAAAAAACTACTTTATTATTTAAGTTAAAATCTTTTTTAAGATATTAAACCTTTTTCAAAGACAATTAGTTATGATTGATTTTTCTCAAAAATCTTTACAATTGATCAACTTATTTTACATGAAAGTGAAAACTATTTTTCTTAATTAAATTAAACAATTTTCTCAAACAAATTTTAAAGCAATTAAATTCTTGGATCTCGCCTTCCTTGAATCTTTTTAGCGACCGCTCTCGAGGTGCACACCTCAAGTTGTGACCCTTTCGATCTTATTTTCTAGAGTACATAGCACGCCTAGTCCAAGTACGCTAAACTATTTAAATTATTTTCTAAATCAAATCACGAAAGAGTCGAGTTCTTGGAGTCGCGCATTCCTCGAATTCGAGAGGGACTACCATTGAGGCGTACGCCTTGTATGGTGTGCCATTCAAACTTTCGTTCTTAAAATACCTCATTTAATTATTTGGACAAGTACCCTCACTGTCTAACAAACACTATTTTATAATTAATGGGATGAAAAAGATTGTTGTTGGGATCTAGCATTCCAACGATATCCCGATTAATTGGTTGCGAGGCCGACGTCTCGTTTATCGAGTAGTCGTCGTTCCTCCTAATTTTTCAAACCATCTAACCTCGTTCCCCACCTTCGTGCGATCGAGTATAAACCCTAGTATGTCTCTAAACCATACGTCAAGTTCAAACCATTTTCTTAATTAAATTGCGAAAGAACTGAGTTCTTGGAGTCTCGCACTCCTTGAATTCTTGAGTAACCACTCTTAGGGCGTACGCTTTAGGTTGTGGTTCGCTCAACCTTTCGTTTATAAAACACGTGCCCTAACTATTTGGACCAATATCGTTATTGTCCATTCAAATACAATTTCACAATTAATTGAGTGAAAAAGGTATCATTAGGATCTAGCATTCCAATGATATCCCGATTAATTGATTGCGAGACCGACGTCTCGTTCATCGAGTAGCCGTCATTCTCCCTTAAAATATCCACTCCAACTCTCTGCTCTCGCCCCCGCGCGATTGAAACTTTCTCAAACATATTTCGTAATTATTATTCGAATGAAAACGTGTTATTGGGCTCTAGCATTCCAATAATGCCCCGATTAATTGATTGCGAGGTCGACGTCTCGTTTATCGAATAGTCGTCATTCTCCATCAAATTGCCTAAACTAAACTCCTCTTTCTTGCCCCCGTGCAATCGAAACCTTAAACCTATTAAAATCTACCCTCCTTTTCCAAAACCAAAACATCCAATACGATAAACCAAATTCCTCACCCTCGTGCGATTTCCAATCCAAACGCCTTTTACCCAAGAACATTGTTTAGTCCCTTCTTCCGCGCATAACAAACTCGTGCTTCAGCCTCCCCTTAGCGAGCAGACAAGCCAACGTTTAGCTTTTAGAATGCGACCTAAACACTCGTTCGTCAAACACAAACTTTTTACCATAGTTGGCCGAACTACGGCTGCTCTGATTTCTCACACCCGTTGAGAATACGTAGGCATAGGATTGCGATGATCCTAGCGAGCACTTTTCCAATTTTCTTTCTTTCCCACCTTTAGGTTCCCATACATTTTACCAAAGAACATTGTTTTATCCCTTCTTCCGCGCATATGAACTCGTGCTTCAGCCTCCCCTAGCGAGCAGACAAGCCAACGTTTAGCAGTTAGAATGCGACATAAACACTCGTTCATTCCCATACCAAACCTCCTTACCGTAGTTAGCCGAACTACGGCTGCTCTGATTCTTCATTCCCTCTCGAATGTAAGATACGTAGGCACAAGATTGCGATGATCTTGGTGAGCACAATCCCTTTTTTTTCCCGTAGTCCCATGAACTACGAATGCTCTAATTTTCCACTTCTTACAAGTGAAGATACGTAGGCACAAGGGCCCCAATCCTTGGCGAGCACCCTATCTTAAAACCACCATTCCCCCTATAGGAGAAACCTTAGAAGAAAACAAACAAGCATAATTAACTTTACTCTCGAATCGATCAAGAGGTTCCCGTTGAGTACAACGGACATGAGGGGTGCTAATACCTTCCCCTCATGTAATCGACTCCCGACCCTAGAATATTTGTTGCGATGACCATGTTCTTATCTCTTTAAAGGTTTTATCGATATTTTCCTATTCCATCCTTGGAATGAATAAAGTTCGGTGGCGA